GGGAACGGGGGGGGGGGATGGGTTTTGATCCCCCCGCCCCTCTCCCCCCCTTTGGCCGCCAAATTCGAACCCCCTCCCCCTCCCCCCTTTCGCCACGGCGTCCCCTGGCTCCGGAGCCCGACCCCTACCACCGCTAACGCTGATCCTCACCCATACCCAAAAACCGAACCCGAACCCCAATCCCTGACCCTAGCCCCAAACAGTACTCACTACTCACTACGCACTACTCACTTCTCGCTACTCACCACCCACTTCCCACTACTCACTACTCACGACTCACGACTCTCTACTCACTAACCAAAACTCACTACCCACTACCCACTACTCACTACTCCCTACTCCCTACTCACTACTCCGTACTCGCTCCTCACTGCCCACCACTTCTTCGAACTACCCACTTACTACCATCCACTCCTCACTACTCACTACTCACTGCCCACAACCCACTACTCACTTTCCACTACTCGCTAATCGCTACTCCCTACTCCCTACACTGTCCTCGCTACTTACTACTCACTACTTGCTACTCTCTGCTCCCCACTGCCTACCCAACACGCACTATTCACTACCCAGTGCTCACTACTCACATTTCACTACTTCCTACTCACTAGTCACTACTCACTAGTCACCACTCACTACCCAGTACTCGCTACTCACTACTCACGACTCACCACTCACGTGTCGCTACTTCTACTCGCTACTCACTACTCACTACCCACTACTCGCAACCACCTTCTCCCATCTCAATACTCACTTCTCCCTACTCAGTAGTCATTACTCGCTACTTCCTACTCGCTGCTCCCTACTCACTACTCACTACTGACAGTTGCCACCTCCCCACTCACTACTCACAACGCCCTACTGGCTACTCACCACTCACCACTCGCTACTCCCTACTCCCTACTCCCTACTCACGACCCACGACCCACTACCCCCTAATCCGTACTCTGTACTCAGTGCGCATTAATCACTATTCGCTAATCACCACTCACTACTCCCTACTCTCTACTCACTACTCACAGCTCACAACTTACTACCCACTACTCACGACTCACTACTCACAAATCCCTACTCTCTATTCATTACTCGCTACTCACTATGCACTACGAGTTAATCACTACTCACCACCCACTACTCACTACCCACTACTCGCTAGTCACTCCTCACTACTCCCTACTCCCTACACCGTACTCACTACTCATTACGCACTACTCACTACTCGCTACTCACTACGCAGTAGTCAGTACTCGCCTCTCACGACTCACTATTCACTACTGCCCACCCCCCCACTCCCAACACCCTACTCTCCACTCACTACCCACTACTCACTACTCACTATTCACCACGCACTACTCACTACTCACGACTCACCACTCACGTGTCACTACTTCTACTCGCTACTCACTATTCACTACCCACTACTCGCTACCCACTTCTCCCATCTCAATACTCACTTCTCCCTACTCAGTAGTCATTACTCGTTACTCCCTACTCGCTCCTCCCTACTCACTACTCACTACTGATAGTTGCCACCTCCCTACTCACTACTCACAACGCCCTACTGGCTACTCACTACTCACCACTCGCTACTGCCTACTCCCTACTCACTACTCACGACCCACGACCCACTACTCCCTCATCCGTACTCATTACTCAGTGCTCATGAATCACTACTACTCACTACTCACAACTCACAACCTACTACCCACTACTCACGACTCACTACTCCCTACTCTCTACCCATTACTCGCTACTCACTACGCACTACCCGTTAATCACAACTCACCACCCACCACTCACTACCCACTACTCACTAGTCACTCCTCACTACTCCCTACTCCGTACTCACCACTCATTACGCACTACTCACTACTCGCTACTCACTACGCACTAATCAGTACTCGCCTCTCACGACTCACTATTCACTACTGCCCACCCCCCACTCCCAACGCCCTACTCTCCACTCACTACCCACTACTCACTACTCACTATTCACCACGCACTACTCACTACTCACTACTTCCACCAGTCACTACTCCCTACCCACCTTCCCCTGCGCAGAACGAAGAAGCGGGAAAGGCCCTGTCCCCGGCCCCCTGTTCGGCGCAAAAGGGAGGGAGGTGGGGGGGAGGACCCCCCCGCCCCCCAATGGGGGGAAGGCGAAGGGGGGGGGGGTCAAGCTAGGTGCGCTCGCGTCATATCTGACATCCTACCCCTCCCTCCCACCCCTTACCATGGCGCATGTCCCCTCTCTACTCGCACAGTCGGATGTCGAGCAGGGCAATGATCCCGAAAGGGTACGCGATGCAGTGTAGAGCACGGCATGACATGGCGTAGAAGAGCACCGCGAAGCGTAGTATCAACCTCGCGTTGCATTGCATGCCGTGGCATGGCACGGGAGATGACTCCGAGTCGGAACGAGAGGGAGCACGAGTCGAAACGAGCGGAAACGCGGAAATGAGGCCCGCGCTGCAGCGGGAACACGATTCGGAATGAGCGGAAGCACGCCGGAATCGGCCCAGGAGGCTTCCCGGGCGCCAGAAGCAGAAATTCTGCATATTATTTTCAAAAGAAAAATGTGTTTTGGAATGGCCTTTTTTCGGCGCCGCCTCGGAACTCGATTTTCCGGCGCCGGCCAGAGACGGCTCCGGACAAGGCCCGGGGCGCCGGCCCATGCGCCGGCTCGGGCGTCCTGTCCGGGCGCCGGCTCGGGCGCCGGCCCAGGCGTCGGAATCGGCCCGGGAGGCCTCCTGGGCGCCAAAGCAGAAATTCAGCATTTTCAATAGAAAAATGTGTATTGGAATGGCCGTTTTTCGGCGCCGCCTCGGAACTCGATTTTCTGTCGCCGGCCGGAACCCGCTCCGGACCCGGCCCGAGCGCCGGCCCGGGCGCCGGCTCGGGCGTGCAGCCCGGGCGCCGGCGGAAATGATGCCAGCGCTGCACCGGGAGCACGATTCGGAACGAGCGGGGCCCGAAAATGAGGCCGGCGGTCAGCGAGAGCAGCATTTTGGCAAAAAAATGCAAGCGAAAACCCAACTCCTGGGAAACCTGTGTGTGAAAAACAATACACGGGGGCGGGTCGGATACTTTCAAGCCGTCATCAGGGGAAGAGGGAGAGTAGTATTCACATTGAGAAATTGTTGAATAATTGTCGAAAATCTCACCCCCCTTTAAAGGGGGGTTCTGCGAGACACCCCCCTTTTCCAATTAAAAGGGTGGTCAAATGGGGCGCTTTGTTAAAGTTCCGCTCGCCCGACCCGACCCGCCCGTCAATGTTTGCACGACCCGACCCCATCCGTCCCGCCCATTAGGGTCCGCCCGCCCGACTAGACCCGCCCGTTAGGGTTCACGCGTGCTCACTCGAGCGCGCCTCACACTTCAATGCCCCGCCCGCCCGACCCGACCCGCCCGTTCAGGTCCACCCGGCCCGACCCTACCCGTCCCTCCGGTTAGGGTCCGCCCGCCCGACCCGACCCGCCCGATAGGGTTCACGCGTGCTCACTCGAGCGCGCCTCACACTTAAGTGCCCACCCTGCCCGACCTGACCCGCCCGTTACATGTAGGGCCCGCCCGACCCGACCCGACCCGTCCCGCCCCGTTAGGGTCCGCCCGCCAGACCCGGCCCGCCCGTCAGGGTTTACGCGTGCTCACTCCGGCGCGCCCCACACTTTAGTGTCCCGCCCGCCCAATCCGTCCCGCCCGTCAGGGTTTGCCCGAGACCCGACCCGTCCCGTCCACCCCGTTAGTGTCCGCCCGACCCGACCCCACCCGCCCGACAGGGTTCACGCGTGCTCGTTCCGGCGCGCCTCACACTTCAATGCCCCGCCCGCTCGACCCGACCCGCCCGTCAGGGTCCGCCCGACCCGACACGACCCGACCCGCCCGTTAGGTATTTGCCCGAACCGGACCCGATCCGTCCCGCCCGTCAAGGTCCGCCCGCTCGATCCGGAGCGCCCGTTAGGGTGCACGGGTGCTCGCTCGAGCCTGCCTCACACTTTAATGCACCGCCCGCTCGACCCGACCCGCCCGTAAGGGTCCGCCCGACCCGACCCGATCCGTCCCGCCCGTTAGGGTCCGCCCGCTCGACCCGACTCTCCCGTTAGGGTTCACGCGTGCTCACCCCAACGTGCCCCACACTTTAGTGCCCCGCCCGCCCGACCCGACCGCTAAGGTCCGCCCGATCCCGACCAGATCCTCCCCGCCCGGTAGGGTCCGCCCAGCCCACCCGACCCGACCCGCCCGTTAGGGTTCACGCGTGCTCACTCGAGCGCGCCTCACACTTTAGTGTCCCGCCCGCCCGACCCGACCCGCCCGTTCAGGTCCACCCGACCCGACCCTACCCTTCCCTCCAGTCAGGGTCCGCCCGCCCGACCCGACCCGCCCGTTGGAGCCAGCGCCCATCCCTGGCGAAAGCCAACCTGGGCAAAAGCCAACCCCGGCGAAACGAAGCCCGGCGAAACGAAGCCCGGCGAAAGCCAACCTCAGCGAAAAGCATCCGTGCCGCACCCACCACGCCGAGGATTACGCTCTGGAGAAATCACTGCACCGCACTCCTTGTGAATACTCCAAATCCTTATTCGTCGACCCCCCGTAAAAAACCGGGACCCCCTCCAAATGCGACCTGATATTCCCCCTCCAATGCGACCTCCAAAACCAGACCCCCCTCTTTGAAGGGGCGACTTGATAAACCGGGCCCCCTAAGCTCCAATCCAAAGAAACCGCTCCAATAAACCGGACCCCCCCAATTACAAATAAGGCGCCTCAAAAAACCATGCCCGGGGGACGATTAATAAGGGATTTGGAGCAAGCTGGAAAAACCCACGAGGAGTCAAGGCTTCGGGGACTTCCTGGAGGTTTGGGGCATCCTTGGAGATTTGGGCTTCTCATGGAGGCCTAAGGATGTTAATGCGGTCCGCGTGGAGCAGCAGCACCGATCCCGAAACGCCAATAAGCTGATACTGCATTGGAGGCTATCGAGATGAGGACGGCAGTCGGGACGCCTCGGTGATGCGCACCTTGATAGGCCCACCTCGTTGTGACAGCCATGCCATGCCGTCCGTGCCGTCCTTGACGTAACTCAGGCCCAGGAGGGCCGTTACCTGAGGCAGCGGCTTGCCACGTACGTGCAGTGCTTGAAATGGCGGGCCGATGAGATGGCCAGATCGGCAAACGTGAACACAGGTGGTAGGCACACCAATTCAACATACCAACGTGCTCCTCCCCTTTCCCTTTCGCACTTCTCCTGGAGGGCGTGGAGGATGAGGGCGAGACGGAGCGGAATTTGGGGACGGAGCTGGCTGAGGAGTGGGACGAATGGGAGAAGGAGCGGGGGGAAGGAGGAGGGGGAGGAGAGACGATGGGAGGGAGGCGGACGAAGTAGAGGAGGCTCGCATTGGTCGATAGTGGCATGCCGGCCAGCCACGAGCGTGCAGAAGCAGGACGAGGACGACCACGCCAAGCACGACGAGGGGGAGGAGGCAAGGGCATCGGGGCGTATCGCTCGGCACGTTCCACAGCTCGAAGCTCGAAGGAGGAGGATGAGAAAGAGGGGACAAACACAGGGAGGACGACAAGGACGAGAGTGAGAAGGACGATGACAACGACCACGACGACGAACACGACGACGACCACGACAACGACGAGGACGAGAAGAGGCAGGGACGAGCGCGGCGCACATGCCCCATGCAGGCCACAATGCGCGCGCCACGTGGGGCCGGGTGTGGGGCGACGGACGTGCTGAGTGTTCGTCGTCCTCGTTGCCCTGCTCAAACTTCGGCTACCCCAGCTGCGTCCCTCCTCCTCGCCCTTCTCCATGCTGTTCTCCACGCGACCCTCCGCCCCCCCTCCCTCCTGCTTCCCCTCCGAAAGCTCTGCTGCTGCTGGTGCTCCTCCTCCTCCTCCCCCTGCTTCTCGTGCTCCTGCCCCCCTTTCTCATCCCGTCTCGCCTGCCTCTTACTGCTGCTGCTGCTGCTGCTCCTCGTCCTGCCTCCGCCCACTCAACGTCCTCCTCGTACTCCTCCTCCTCCTCCTCCTCCTCCTCCTCCTCCTCCTCCTCCTCCTCCTTCCCTCCACGTTCTCAGCCCGCCCCTCCGCCTCCCTTCCCAGAGGCTGCACCTCCGCCTCCTCTGCTGCTGATGCTGACCCCTCTCCTCGTCGCGCTGATCCGGCTCCTGCTCCTCCTCCCGCTCCCGCTCCCGAAGGAAATGTGCGCGACTGACCAAGGGCAGTCTAGTCGCACGAGCTGCGTGGAAATGGGATTGCCCCATGGGCGTCAGAGGGATGATGAATGGGGAGGAGGGAAGGGGCAACTACACACGAATCCCAGTATTCTCCATGTTTGTAAAGCTTTTCTGGGTTTTCGTCTCCCCCCCACTGTCCGTATTTTCAAGTCTTTTCCTTCGAATCGACGATTAATTATGTCTCCCTCCTGAAGGAGGGAAGGGGGAGGCGGGAGAAGTGAGGGGAACAGGGAGGGGGACACACAGGACGAAGGGAGGACGACATAGGAGAGGGATGAAGAGGGTCCGGTGAGAAGTACCTACAGATCAAGCAACGGGCCTGAAGAAGATAGGTAGCGCGATCATCTGCAACGCACATATCATTCATCGAAGGGCTGGCGGCCTGGCATCAACATACGAATAAATGTCCGGCATTATGTCTCTTCTATGCTAACCACGTGCTACATAATATCCGGGTCACCTAGGCTGTCCTATAATATCACGTCTCGCGGGCGCGCTGTACAAACTAGAACACAACAAATGTAGGTTCCGCGCATTCTGGCCGCCATCGCCGCAAATAATGCACCAAGAAATGCGCCGTAGACAATGCACCAAGATACGAGAGAGATCCGCTACCGTGCCTCGAGGCTCAAGATAGATTGTCTTCAGGCCCTCGGAGTCTGAGCCCTCAGCCCCCGGGACCTACAGTCAAAAAAATTGTAGTAAAGATCCGAGATAAGGATGCGAGCCCATTGGACCCCCGTGCTAAAGCTTCGTGGAGCGCGGCGGGCCGTCGAAAGTAGTCAAGGATGGATCGAGAAGGCACGGATGCAAGGGTACCTCTGGGAAGGATGGTCGGTGACCACATGTGAACACTACCTCCCCCCCCCGCGATTTCTAAGAGGGGTCAGGGGTTCACTTCGCTTGGGACCTCCCGAGCGAAATGAACTCCCATCCCCCCCTGAGAAATCGTGGGGGTGGGGGTAGTGTTCACATGTGGTCACCGAGATGGTCCATCCTCCTCACCATCGGCCTCGACTGCAAGGGGCCCAGACCCCGAATTCACCGCACGTCCGAAGCGCGCTGCGGACCTCCCCCGAGGCCAGCGGGCCCCAAGACGGTCGAGGCGGGCTCCAAGACGGCCACCAAGAGGGCTCTGAGACGGCCCAACAGCGCCCCAAGATGTTTGGAATTGGCCTCCAGACGGCCCGATGGGGCCCCCAAGACGCCCCGACAGCGCTCCGAGAACCACCGCCCGAGGGGGCCGCAAGAGTCAGCATGAATTCGTGTTGCTGTGGTTGGTGAATGCTTTTGGCGTTCTCGCCGCTTCGGACTTCCAACGCTCCAAGACGCCCGAGAGACCCCCCCCAAGGCGGCTCCAAAACGGCCCAACAGGCCCCAGCGGGCCACCAAAACAGCCCCGGAGGCATCCCAAGACGGCCCAGGAGGCCTACAAGACGGAGCCCAGATCCCCCAAGACGGTCCCAAGAAGGGACGCACAAGCTGACATTTCTAGCCCTCCGCCCCAAGATGGCCCCAAGACCCCCCCCCAGAGGCCCACGACGAGCCCCCAAGAGGCACCCAGGCGGCCATCAAGAGGTCCTCAATGAAACCCCAAGAGACCCCAGATGTCTATCCAAGAGGCACCTGGGAGGCATCCCAAGAGACCCTGATGTGCACCCCACGGGCCCCCCTGACACCACACCACGGCACGTTGGCGGGATTGGCCAAAAGCCAGTAGTCGAGTAGGGGATCGACTACAGAATTAAGTTACCCCAAGATTGTTTACCCCAAGATTGATTTACCTGAAAATTTGCAGAAGTCTCAGTCGATTGCTGAACATTCTAGGTCTTGGTCGTAGATTCGATAGAGAATCAATTTTGGGGTGAATCAAGTCTGTAGTCGACACCTTACTCGAAATAGAGGACGCCCCTCGCCCCTCTCAGGTGTCCGCCCACGCTTGGGGGGCGGCACGGGCGGCTGAGCGCGGCCCCGTGATCTGCGGATGCAGCGCGCAGGGCCGAACCCCAGGACACACTACTAAACACACACGAATAAAACGATTCCCCATATTTTCCAATATTTGCTCGGTTTCTGTCTTCCCCCCCACTTCCCATATTTTCCCATGATCTCCTGGGGGTCGACGATTAATTGTGTCTGTGTGTGTCTTTCCCCTCCTGAGTTTGGCCTGTGCAGTTTCTGTGTTGGCCTCAAGCGCTCAGGGTTTGGCCTGGCGCGTAGAGGCTTCGGCCTTGCGCGCGTTGGCTTTGGTCCTGCGCGTCGGCTGTCCTGGCCCTGCGCGTCAGCTGTTTTGGCCTGGTCCCATAACTTATCCTCAGTGTTCACCTTGATTGCCCGCCCTGCTTCACTGCGTGTGTCTCTTCGTCTCGTTTCCCGTCCCAAGGGGGGGGAGACCTCGGAGGCCAGGGGAGAACCACGCAGAGACATGAAGAGGCCGGAGCTCCACGGCAGAGCTGCGCAAGCAATGAGGAGGGCCCATTGGGCCAGGGGCGAGGCCCCGAGACTCGGCGCCACAAGACTAGTCGTAGCCACAAAAAGGCACGGGCCCAGGATGGCCCGGGGCCGAGGGAGGGCCCGGGCGAAAGCAGGTGGGCGGACGAGCGGACGCGAAACGAAAGAGGCGCGAGGCCAGGGGGGACAGCCCGGGGGAGAGGGGCCAGGGGGAGGGCCCAGGGGAGGACCGGGGCGGAGCCAAGCTGGTGGGTGGCCACGGGGGTGATCCTTGGGGGCTGCAGGGGCAGCAGCACGAGGGCAGCCGGGATGAGAAACAGCCGCGGCGTGACCTCATTCGGCTCCCACATCCGCACCCCGTGGCAGGGGCAGCTCTGGTGGAAATGCGGGCCCCGCCCCCCCCCCAGCTGCCTCCAAGCATAGCAGGAGGAATGGAGGCGACCCGCCTTGCACCTGGAGTGCCCAAAGGGGGCACATGTGGATGCGGAAAAGGGAACTTGAGGAAGGATCCGCCCTGGGGTCAACCAGCCTGTCCGAACAGGGCAGACCGCAGTCAGACCATCCACATCCGCTCCAAGCCCGAACCCCCGACCAGCCGGTACGACCTGAATCCTCCCAGGGGACCAGGGCGGACTGATCAGCCGGAGACGGCGGGGCAAAGGCCCAGGCAACTGGGTCTGGACGGAAAGGTGCTAGGGCCAAAGGGCTTTCTTCGCATAGGATCCCCCCGGACAGGGAAGCCTGGCAGCACTCGGATGCCTTGGGAAACAATCCTCGCGTGGCCCTGTGCAACTCTGGACGCAAAGATGCTAAGAGAACCCCAAGGTCTTCGTCGTGCGGGCTGGCATCCAATACGGCCAATATGGTCCAATGTGTGACGACTTTCGCGGGGCGGCCCGCAACAGTCGAACTGCGTGACGTGGAGGCGCGGGGTATGACTTGGTTTTGCCTGGAAACGAAAGGTCAACCTCCAAATCCTGCCACTGCTGACCTTTCTCGCAAGCGTTCATCCCAGAACGATAGCTGATGACAACGGGCTCCATCTTCGTCTCGACCATCTCGCTGAGCAGCGACAGGGCATGCTGCTACTGCTGACCTCTCTGCAAGCACGGATCCAAGCATTGCATATTATGGTATGGACATCAAGTTTCGTCTCGACTATCCAGCTGAGCAGCGACATGGCCCGCTGCCACTGCTGACCTTTCTCACATGCGCTGATCCAAGCGTTGTAACTGATGGCAGTGGGCTCCAGCTTCGTCTCGACCATCTCGTCAAGCAGCGACAGGGTCCGCTGCCACTGCTGACCTTTCACGCAAGCGCTCATCCAAGCACTGGACTCCAGCTTTGTCTCGACCATCTCGTCAAGCAGCGACAGGGCCTGCTGCAAATTCCGACCTTTCTCGCATGCACTGATCCCAGCGTTGTAGATGATGGTATTGGGCTCCAGCTGCGTCTCGACCATGACGCTGAGCAGCAACAGGGCCCGCTGCTACTGCTAACCTTTCTTGCAAACGCTCATCCCAGCATTGTAGACGATGGTATCCGGCACAGGTTTCGTTTCGATCATGCGGCTGAGCAGCGACATGGCCCGCTGCCACGCTGCCACTGCTGACCTTTCTCGCCAACGTTCCTCCCAGCGTTGTAGCTGATGGCAGTGGGCTCTAGCCTCGTCTCGACCATGTCGCTGAGCAGCGACAGGGCCTGCTGCCACTGCTGACCTTTCTCGCATGCGCAGATGCCAGCACTGTAGATGATGGTATCGGGCGCCAGCTTCGTCTCGACCATGTTGGGCTGGCACAGCGGCAGGACTTGCCGCGGGCCGCTTGATTGATGACTCTGATAGCGCTAGTAGTTGGCCACTGGAGGCACCCACGGTACGCGGCGCGCCATCATAGTCCACACGCGTGCGGTCCACTCACGGTGGCTTTCAATGTCTGGCAACGGCGGAGAAATAAGCCGCAATAAAGGCCAAACGGACACGATATGGTTAAGAGGATCAATACCAAGGACAAAACTTATCACAATCGGCCAATTGGCCGAAACGCCAATAAGCTGATACTGCATGGGAGGCTATCGAGATGAGGACGGCAGTCGGGACGCCTCGGTGATGCGCACCTTGATAGGCCCACCTCGTTGTGATAGCCATGCCATGCCGTCCGTGCCGTCCTTGACGTAACTCAGGCCCAGGAGGGCCGTTAACTGAGGCAGCGGCTTGCCACGTACGTGCAGTGCTTGAAATGGCGGGCCGATGAGATGGCCAGATCGGCAAACGTGAACACAGGTGGTAGGCACACCAATTCAACATACCAACGTGCTCCTCCCCTTTCCCTTTCGCACTTCTCCTGGAGGGCGTGGAGGATGAGGGCGAGACGGAGCGGAATTTGGGGACGGAGCTGGCTGAGGAGTGGGACGAATGGGAGAAGGAGCGGGGGGAAGGAGGAGGGGGAGGAGAGACGATGGGAGGGAGGCGGACGAAGTAGAGGAGGCTCGCATTGGTCGATAGTGGCATGCCGGCCAGCCACGAGCGTGCAGAAGCAGGACGAGGACGACCACGCCAAGCACGACGAGGGGGAGGAGGCAAGGGCATCGGGGCGTATCGCTCGGCACGTTCCACAGCTCGAAGCTCGAAGGAGGAGGATGAGAAAGAGGGGACAAACACAGGGAGGACGACAAGGACGAGAGTGAGAAGGACGATGACAACGACCACGACGACGACCACGACGACGACCACGACAACGACGAGGACGAGAAGAGGCAGGGACGAGCGCGGCGCACATGCCCCATGCAGGCCACAATGCGCGCGCCACGTGGGGCCGGGTGTGGGGCGACGGACGTGCTGAGTGTTCGTCGTCCTCGTTGCCCTGCTCAAACTTCGGCTACCCCAGCTGCGTCCCTCCTCCTCGCCCTTCTCCATGCTGTTCTCCACGCGACCCTCCGCCCCCCCTCCCTCCTGCTTCCCCTCCGAAAGCTCTGCTGCTGCTGGTGCTCCTCCTCCTCCTCCCCCTGCTTCTCGTGCTCCTGCCCCCCTTTCTCATCCCGTCTCGCCTGCCTCTTACTGCTGCTGCTGCTGCTGCTCCTCGTCCTGCCTCCGCCCACTCAACGTCCTCCTCGTACTCCTCCTCCTCCTCCTCCTCCTCCTCCTCCTCCTCCTCCTCCTCCTCCTTCCCTCCACGTTCTCAGCCCGCCCCTCCGCCTCCCTTCCCAGAGGCTGCACCTCCGCCTCCTCTGCTGCTGATGCTGACCCCTCTCCTCGTCGCGCTGATCCGGCTCCTGCTCCTCCTCCCGCTCCCGCTCCCGAAGGAAATGTGCGCGACTGACCAAGGGCAGTCTAGTCGCACGAGCTGCGTGGAAATGGGATTGCCCCATGGGCGTCAGAGGGATGATGAATGGGGAGGAGGGAAGGGGCAACTACACACGAATCCCAGTATTCTCCATGTTTGTAAAGCTTTTCTGGGTTTTCGTCTCCCCCCCACTGTCCGTATTTTCAAGTCTTTTCCTTCGAATCGACGATTAATTATGTCTCCCTCCTGAAGGAGGGAAGGGGGAGGCGGGAGAAGTGAGGGGAACAGGGAGGGGGACACACAGGACGAAGGGAGGACGACATAGGAGAGGGATGAAGAGGGTCCGGTGAGAAGTACCTACAGATCAAGCAACGGGCCTGAAGAAGATAGGTAGCGCGATCATCTGCAACGCACATATCATTCATCGAAGGGCTGGCGGCCTGGCATCAACATACGAATAAATGTCCGGCATTATGTCTCTTCTATGCTAACCACGTGCTACATAATATCCGGGTCACCTAGGCTGTCCTATAATATCACGTCTCGCGGGCGCGCTGTACAAACTAGAACACAACAAATGTAGGTTCCGCGCATTCTGGCCGCCATCGCCGCAAATAATGCACCAAGAAATGCGCCGTAGACAATGCACCAAGATACGAGAGAGATCCGCTACCGTGCCTCGAGGCTCAAGATAGATTGTCTTCAGGCCCTCGGAGTCTGAGCCCTCAGCCCCCGGGACCTACAGTCAAAAAAATTGTAGTAAAGATCCGAGATAAGGATGCGAGCCCATTGGACCCCCGTGCTAAAGCTTCGTGGAGCGCGGCGGGCCGTCGAAAGTAGTCAAGGATGGATCGAGAAGGCACGGATGCAAGGGTACCTCTGGGAAGGATGGTCGGTGACCACATGTGAACACTACCTCCCCCCCCCGCGATTTCTAAGAGGGGTCAGGGGTTCACTTCGCTTGGGACCTCCCGAGCGAAATGAACTCCCATCCCCCCCTGAGAAATCGTGGGGGTGGGGGTAGTGTTCACATGTGGTCACCGAGATGGTCCATCCTCCTCACCATCGGCCTCGACTGCAAGGGGCCCAGACCCCGAATTCACCGCACGTCCGAAGCGCGCTGCGGACCTCCCCCGAGGCCAGCGGGCCCCAAGACGGTCGAGGCGGGCTCCAAGACGGCCACCAAGAGGGCTCTGAGACGGCCCAACAGCGCCCCAAGATGTTTGGAATTGGCCTCCAGACGGCCCGATGGGGCCCCCAAGACGCCCCGACAGCGCTCCGAGAACCACCGCCCGAGGGGGCCGCAAGAGTCAGCATGAATTCGTGTTGCTGTGGTTGGTGAATGCTTTTGGCGTTCTCGCCGCTTCGGACTTCCAACGCTCCAAGACGCCCGAGAGACCCCCCCCAAGGCGGCTCCAAAACGGCCCAACAGGCCCCAGCGGGCCACCAAAACAGCCCCGGAGGCATCCCAAGACGGCCCAGGAGGCCTACAAGACGGAGCCCAGATCCCCCAAGACGGTCCCAAGAAGGGACGCACAAGCTGACATTTCTAGCCCTCCGCCCCAAGATGGCCCCAATACCCCCCCCCAGAGGCCCACGACGAGCCCCCAAGAGGCACCCAGGCGGCCATCAAGAGGTCCTCAATGAAACCCCAAGAGACCCCAGATGTCTATCCAAGAGGCACCTGGGAGGCATCCCAAGAGACCCTGATGTGCACCCCACGGGCCCCCCTGACACCACACCACGGCACGTTGGCGGGATTGGCCAAAAGCCAGTAGTCGAGTAGGGGATCGACTACAGAATTAAGTTACCCCAAGATTGGTTTACCCCAAGATTGATTTACCTGAAAATTTGCAGAAGTCTCAGTCGATTGCTGAACATTCTAGGTCTTGGTCGTAGATTCGATGGAGAATCAATTTTGGGCTGAATCAAGTCTGTAGTCGACCCCCTACTCGAAGTAGAGGACGCCCCTCGCCCCTCTCAGGTGTCCGCCCACGCTTGGGGGGCGGCACGGGCGGCTGAGCGCGGCCCCGTGATCTGCGGATGCAGCGCGCAGGGCCGAACCCCAGGACACACTACTAAACACACACGAATAAAACGATTCCCCATATTTTCCAATATTTGCTCGGTTTCTGTCTTCCCCCCCACTTCCCATATTTTCCCATGATCTCCTGGGGGTCGACGATTAATTGTGTCTGTGTGTGTCTTTCCCCTCCTGAGTTTGGCCTGTGCAGTTTCTGTGTTGGCCTCAAGCGCTCAGGGTTTGGCCTGGCGCGTAGAGTCTTCGGCCTTGCGCGCGTTGGCTTTGGTCCTGCGCGTCGGCTGTCCTGGCCCTGCGCGTCAGCTGTTTTGGCCTGGTCCCATAACTTATCCTCAGTGTTCACCTTGATTGCCCGCCCTGCTTCACTGCGTGTGTCTCTTCGTCTCGTTTCCCGTCCCAAGGGGGGGGAGACCTCGGAGGCCAGGGGAGAACCACGCAGAGACATGAAGAGGCCGGAGCTCCACGGCAGAGCTGCGCAAGCAATGAGGAGGGCCCATTGGGCCAGGGGCGAGGCCCCGAGACTCGGCGCCACAAGACTAGTCGTAGCCACAAAAAGGCACGGGCCCAGGATGGCCCGGGGCCGAGGGAGGGCCCGGGCGAAAGCAGGTGGGCGGACGAGCGGACGCGAAACGAAAGAGGCGCGAGGCCAGGGGGGACAGCCCGGGGGAGAGGGGCCAGGGGGAGGGCCCAGGGGAGGACCGGGGCGGAGCCAAGCTGGTGGGTGGCCACGGGGGCGATCCTTGGGGGCTGCAGGGGCAGCAGCACGAGGGCAGCCGGGATGAGAAACAGCCGCGGCGTGACCTCATTCGGCTCCCACATCCGCACCCCGTGGCAGGGGCAGCTCTGGTGGAAATGCGGGCCCCGCCCCCCCCCCAGCTGCCTCCAAGCATAGCAGGAGGAATGGAGGCGACCCGCCTTGCACCTGGAGTGCCCAAAGGGGGCACATGTGGATGCGGAAAAGGGAACTTGAGGAAGGATCCGCCCTGGGGTCAACCAGCCTGTCCGAACAGGGCAGACCGCAGTCAGACCATCCACATCCGCTCCAAGCCCGAACCCCCGACCAGCCGGTACGACCTGAATCCTCCCAGGGGACCAGGGCGGACTGATCAGCCGGAGACGGCGGGGCAAAGGCCCAGGCAACTGGGTCTGGACGGAAAGGTGCTAGGGCCAAAGGGCTTTCTTCGCATAGGATCCCCCCGGACAGGGAAGCCTGGCAGCACTCGGATGCCTTGGGAAACAATCTTCGCGTGGCCCTGTGCAACTCTGGACGCAAAGATGCTAAGAGAACCCCAAGGTCTTCGTCGTGCGGGCTGGCATCCAATACGGCCAATATGGTCCACTGTGTGACGACTTTCGCGGGGCGGCCCGCAACAGTCGAACTGCGTGACGTGGAGGCGCGGGGTATGACTTGGTTTTGCCTGGAAACGAAAGGTCAACCTCCAAATCCTGCCACTGCTGACCTTTCTCGCAAGCGTTCATCCCAGAACGATAGCTGATGACAACGGGCTCCATCTTCGTCTCGACCATCTCGCTGAGCAGCGACAGGGCATGCTGCTACTGCTGACCTCTCTGCAAGCACGGATCCAAGCATTGCATATTATGGTATGGACATCAAGTTTCGTCTCGACTATCCAGCTGAGCAGCGACATGGCCCGCTGCCACTGCTGACCTTTCTCACATGCGCTGATCCAAGCGTTGTAACTGATGGCAGTGGGCTCCAGCTTCGTCTCGACCATCTCGTCAAGCAGCGACAGGGTCCGCTGCCACTGCTGACCTTTCACGCAAGCGCTCATCCAAGCACTGGACTCCAGCTTTGTCTCGACCATCTCGTCAAGCAGCGACAGGGCCTGCTGCAAATTCCGACCTTTCTCGCATGCACTGATCCCAGCGTTGTAGATGATGGTATTGGGCTCCAGCTGCGTCTCGACCATGACGCTGAGCAGCAACAGGGCCCGCTGCTACTGCTAACCTTTCTTGCAAACGCTCATCCCAGCATTGTAGACGATGGTATCCGGCACAGGTTTCGTTTCGATCATGCGGCTGAGCAGCGACATGGCCCGCTGCCACGCTGCCACTGCTGACCTTTCTCGCCAACGTTCCTCCCAGCGTTGTAGCTGATGGCAGTGGGCTCTAGCCTCGTCTCGACCATGTCGCTGAGCAGCGACAGGGCCTGCTGCCACTGCTGACCTTTCTCGCATGCGCAGATGCCAGCACTGTAGATGATGGTATCGGGCGCCAGCTTCGTCTCGACCATGTTGGGCTGGCACAGCGGCAGGACTTGCCGCGGGCCGCTTGATTGATGACTCTGATAGCGCTAGTAGTTGGCCACTGGAGGCACCCACGGTACGCGGCGCGCCATCATAGTCCACACGCGTGCGGTCCACTCACGGTGGCTTTCAATGTCTGGCAACGGCGGAGAAATAAGCCGCAATAAAGGCCAAACGGACACGATATGGTTAAGAGGATCAATACCAAGGACAAAACTTATCACAATTGGCCAACACGTCGCAATACCTACGCCCCTGGCTCCAAACTGCGACGATACACGCAAAGCCACAAGTTGCAAATCTAGGATCAATGCGCTCGCCTCGTCAAATTCTCCACGGCGCCTCTGCTCTGCTAAGTGCCGTAATTGTGTCGCAAGCTGGGTTGCAGTGTGATCCCACTGCTGAAGAGTGACTGTAGTCTCGTGGTACAAAAATGGACGCCACCTCTGCAATTCCGCGAGAAACAACTCGCGATGACCATTACGCAGCAGCGCCCTGCGAAGCGGCAATCCTGGCCCAGGATCTGCGGTAGATCGCGGTACTGCTGGAGGCAAACTAGGCAGTGAGATGCCGTCAGAATTTTCTGTTGTGGTATTCCCCCAGTCGCGAGCGGACGCGAGGCAACGTTGGCATCGCCATGCGTAGTTCAAGGATGACACCCCTGTGGCAAAATCCGCCGACCCCTTAGGGTTCATCGGCGTGTGAGATGCTCCCCTCTGCTTAAACCCCTCCCCCGGGAGGCCGGTACGGTCGATTTGAAATGGCGGGATCCATCGGGACCGCCCGAACGAATCACGGGGGGACAGAGGGCCCCACAACAGGCCAAGATGGCCACAAGCCTCAGAAAGATCTATCCAAAACGCCCAAGCTGGCCTCATGGCAGCCCAAAGGGCCCCCAAGACGCCCCAAGAAGCCCGCAAGAGGCGTTCCAAGACGGCCTCAAGGAGCAAACATCGCCCAATCCCTTTTAGGAAAACGTGCATTCTGTCCGTTGGCGCCGTCCATGTGCGTTGGCACCGTCCAAGACGGCGCAAAAAAAAATTCCTCGATCGCTCCAAGACAGCCCAAGAGGCCCCAAAGAGGGCCACCAGACGACCTTGGAGGGCCCCAGAACCGCTCAAAAAGCTCCCAAAATGGCCTAGGGGAGCCCCAGGACAGCCCCAAGAAGGGACCCAGAGGGGGAACCCGAACGGACATTTCGAGCCTTCGACCCCAAAGCGCCCACTGGTTGCCCCAACACGCCTCAACAGGCCCCCAGGGAACTCCAAGAGGACCCACAAACATTACACTGCGACGTACCCAACCCTTTCTATACATGTGGCAAGTGTACTCAAGACCACTCAGTGCTGACTGGCATTCAGAAGGACTCGCAGTGCGCAAGAAGAGCACCCAGCAGTGATTTCAGAAGAGCGCAGCAAGCAGAGCAGCGGCGACCATAGAAAACAGACACACAAGGGGCGTTTGTGGTGGTCCGCGTATGACGTACCTCCGCTGGGCCTCCCGAGAGCCCACGAAAGTGCCGACAGTTTCGCAGATCGCAGCCTCCAAGGGCACCACGAGCTATAGTGGTGATCTGCACCTGACGTACCTCCGCTGGGCCTCCCAAGAGCCCACGAAAGTGCCGACAGTTTCACAGATCGCAGCCCCACAGGGCACCGCGAGCTATCATGGTGATCTGCACCTGACGTACCTCCGCTGGGCCTCCCAGGAGCCCACGAAAGTGCCGACAATTTCGCAGATCGCAGCCCCCCAGAGCACCGCGAGCTATAATGGTGATCTGCGTATGACGTACCTGCGCTGGGCCTCCCAGGAGCCCACGAAAGTGTCGACAATTTCGCAGATCGCAGCCCCCCAAGGCACCGCGAGCTATAATGGTGATCTGCACCTGACGTACCTCCGCTGGGCCTCCCAGGAGCCCACGAAAGTGCCGACAATTCCGCAGATCGCAGCCCCCCCAGGGCACTGCGAGCTATAGTGGTGATCTGCGTATGACTTACCTCCGCTAGGCCTCCTAAGGGCCCACGAAAATGCCGACTGTTTCGCAGTTCGCAAACCCCCAGGGCACCGCGAGCTATAGTGGTGATCTGCGTATGACGTACCTCCGCTGGGCCTCCCAGGAGCCAACGACAAAGCAAACAGTTTCGCAGATCGCAGACTCCCAGGGCACCGCGAGCTATTGTGGTGTTCTGCACCTGACGTACCTCCGCTGGGCCTCCCAAGAGCCCACGAAAGTGCCGACAGTTTCGCAGATCGCAGCACCACAGGGCACCGCGAGCTATAGTGGTGATCTGCGTATGACGTACCTCCGCTGGGCCTCCCAGGAGCCCACGAAAGTGCCGACAATTCCGCAGATCGCAGCCCCCCAGGGCACCGCGAACTATAGTGGTGATCTGCGTATGACGTACCTCCGAAAGTGCCGACAGTTTCGCAGATCGCAACCACCCAAGGCACCGCGAGCTATAGTGGTGGTCCGCGTATGACGTACCTCCGCTGGGCCTCCCAGGAACCCACGAAAGTGCCGACAGTTTCGCAGGAGAGAGGAAGGAAGGGAGGAGAGGAGAGGAGGAAGGAGGAAGGAGGACGGGGCGACCACACTGCTCTATACAAAACGAGAACCCAACACGGGAAGGTTGGGAGGAGGCCCCAAGGAGGCCCCCAAAAGGTTCAAAAACTGCGTCCCAAACCCTTCCGGGACGCCTCCCACGAGACCCCATCTGCCATCCGAGCGGCATCAGGCCCGCAGCCCAGGAACGGTGGCGGGATGTGCCGAAAGCCATTCGATCCGCCGCCCCCTGTTGATTCATCACAGGGGTGCCTGGCGTGCTCGATCCTTCCGGTTTTGGTTTTGATCTTTTTTCCAATAGAATTCCCCCTGGGGCTTCGGCGCGTCTCGCCGGCCACCCGAAAGGATTGCCCAGGATCTTCCAGAAGTGGTTGCCGAGGGTTTTCCTGCCCCGGGTGGCTCCAAGATGGCCCAAGATGGCCTCCAAGATGGCCTCCAAGACGGCTCAGGTGGCCCCAAGATGCCCCCAAGATGCTTCCCAGACGGCCTCAGATAGCCTCAAGATGGTTCCAGGCGGCCCAAGAGGCCCCCAAGAGCCCCCCAAGACGCCTCCGAGATGTCCTCAAGGAGGGCCCGAGGAGGCCAATTGGTTTTCCGGTGGATTTTGGCCTTTGGTTCTTTTTGGCCTTCCGAAGACCTCAAAACGGCCCAGAGGCCCCCAAGGTCGCCCCAAAATCGCCCACGAGGCCTCCAAAAGGGCCCCATGACGGCCCAAGAAGCCCCCAAAAAGGCCCCAAGAGGCCCCCGAAGATGCATCCAAGAGGCCTCCAAGACGCCCAGGATGGCCTCCAAGACGGCTAAGATGGCCCCGGTATGCTTCCAATACGGCTCAAGATGCACCCAAGACGGCCTGAGATGGCCTCCAGATGACCTAAAAAAGGCCCAAAATGCCCCCAAGAGGCCTCGACGACGGCCCAAGAGGCCTCCAAGAGGTCCTCCAGGAGGGCCCGAAGAGGCCACAATCCATATATATATATATATATATATATATATATCTATATATATATATATATGTATGTATGTATGTATGTATGTATGTATACATTATGCGACGACGACGCGGGCACCTTGATCGCGCGTTTTATGCAGCGGATGATGCCCGCGGCAGTTACGGAGCCCGTCAGAAACAACAGTGCGGCAAGGACGAAAGAACCTAAGGCTTGGATCCCAACTCGGCCAACATGTGCCCAGTTTTTGACCACAGATCTTGCCCCGTGTCCCAGAAGAGCCACTGGGCAGAGCGAGCGCGATTTTCCCTGGAGCGCTGATTAACCGCAGGGGACCTGCTCCCCATTATAGCACGCACGTGGCGCCATATTCCATCGATGATCTGAGTACCACCCTCGGTGCAAATCACTTCTCCGTTGGGCATGCGGTGGCGAAAACATTGTACGTAATTGGGCTGAACCCACTGGCAATTGATCTTATTTTTCCTATGCGCCACGAAGTCGTGGATAATTCCATCAATGGTTATCTTCCTGTTGGCGCCCATCTTGTAGGAACGAGCGCCGTCGGCGCGTAGAAAAACGCAGCGGCCCTTTAACCACTTCAACGCTTGAGGTTCCCAATATTTCTTCGTGATCGGCCCAGGACCTGGCGATCTCAATGTCGTGGTTTCCGGCGACGTTCTGGACGTCGCCAGCGAAGACGGCGTACCTCTCTGCACGATGCCGCCCCACTGATGCCACTTCGACCGATTGCCACCCGCTGTGCGCACGACTTCCTTGTTCAAATCAACTTCGTCTGCTTCGACGTCATGCCGCGTCCCATTTTCACCGGAGCCGAATTTGATCTTTGGCTCCTGCATCCTCACGAATCGAGAGCGCGCAGCGTCCAGCCGCGACGCAAAGCGCCTCACATACTTCTCATCGTGGCCCCATAATAAATGGGGCTGCGCCGTCGTTAAGCCAGCTGTTCTCCCCAAGAGAACTTTTGCCTGCGATGCTAACGGCTTGCAATCCCTGCCGCTCCCAGTTGCGAAGACCATGTGGTTCGCATGGGGCAGGATGTGTTTGTGACAACGCTTGGCGTTGCATCTGTAGCTGAGAGAACCGCTGTCCTTGCGCCGCCGCAACTTCCCAACGTTGTACGAACCGCAGAACGGGCAAACATGCTGAGTCAAAAATTTTCCAAAAAAGCATGCATTCGTTAGCTATCTGACCAATTGCTGCTCAGTCAGGCGGTCAATTTCCTCAATGCTCATGGCCCACTTCTGCAGCTTGCGCTGTTTGGTACCGCACCTAACATAAGGGGGTCTTCTTCCACGGCGCAGACAACTTCTTCTTGTCAAGCTTCTCCGGCCGCGCGCGCAGGCGCCGTTTCCATCGTTTTGGCGCGGGGAAACAAGACGCGGGCCGCTTGGCAATTCTCCTCCTTGCACCTTTATGGCCAGTCTTCCCTTTGCAAAGTTTCACACCTTTGCAAGCTTTCCCGCCGCACAAAGAATCATCTGACCCGCTCAGCTCGCCGAAGCCGTCGGCCGCGCCGCTAGCGCCCTCAGAGCCGCAAGGGGAACCGCCGAATTCAGTAATCATGAAGATCTTCCGTCTCCCAGTCTCTGCCCCCGCGATTATCTGCTCGGCGTTCGCCGACGTAATCAGGTCTGGCCTGCCGTCGCGGAAACTGGCGACGGTGTAATCGCCAATGCGCAACCCGTAGGCGCGGCCGTTCCTGAGGAAGCAACTTCTGGGATATGTGTGCTGGAATGGTGGCTACGTGCCACATTGGATGCGCATAAAACATATGCGCGGCAAGGATACAACAGCCTTGGAATGCCGCGTTGGCGGCTTTCGAAGTCGCGGCGCCCAAGGACACAAACAGAAATTGAGGATGCAATGGTTCCCTTGAAACGTCGTTCACCCTTACTGCGCGACGTGGCTGCGAGCTCCATTCGGCGCGCGAATGCCGATTAAGCCGCATCAGGCGGGATAGGAAAAAAAAGATTGTCCCGAATTGAGACCAGGTCGGCATCGAGGATCACATCCCAGAAGTTGCGCCCAGAGGTTCCCGTCGTCGACCAAGAAGCGCCCACCGCCACGCACGCGCGACGGCGGGGCGAGACGCACCTGGAAGCCAAGCGAGCGGAGCATGTCATTGCCGTCCTGGAGATCTCACGCAGGCGCCCCATCACGCGAGCAGCGGCGCCTTGGGCGCAGCAGGCGCCCCCGCAGAATCCAGGGGTGCCTGCGGCGAGCCACGGCGCCGCTGCGTGCCCGACGGGGCGTCTTCGTTAGAGTTCTGTCCTGGGCCGCCCACAGCGGGCCGCTCCGCGCGCGCGATGCTGCAAACCCAACGCCACGAAGTGCTTCGGCAACGCAAGTGTTCTTGAGCTCAACGTCGCAGCTGCTGGGGCAGCGGGCCGCTTCCTCCGAAATGCGCGAGGGCTCCTGGTCTACAAGGATGCCGGGCATCTTGCGGTCGTTGCTGCAACGCGCACTCATCGACTGCTGATTGCCCAGAGCAGGGCTGTCCAGCAGCGGGCAGGCAAGTGCATCTTGTCGGGCGCGCACAACAAGATCGCACGCCCCTGACTCTGATTCGAACGGACCGCAGCCCTGCAAATAATATGATGCGGTTTCCATGTCTGGAAGAGACCATACATTGGCTTCGATGACCGCGAAGAAAACTACGCCGCCGATATGCGAAGCGGCCGACGTGAGCTTGCTGGTGGACGTGCGGATGATAGCGCCGAGCGCCGAGTCCAAAATGCAAACCTGCTCCTCGCGCACCCCGGCGGCCATAAAGTGCCCGACGGTGCCCCCGTACGGTTGCCAACACACCAGTTGCGAGTGAGCCTGGACGGCGTCGCGGATCGTGCCGCGACACTCTTGCAGACACAGAACCTGGTCTTCACGTTGCGAATCGTGGCCCCAGTGCTCGTTGAACTCGCGCACAGTGCGAGGCCCGCGGCACGGCGGCCGCGCCTGCGGTGAGTGCTGCTTCAAGTGTTGCACGGAATGGCACAGGTATGCGCCAAGCACGTCGGGCGCCACGGGGGGCGGAAGCTCTGCGCCGCGCGCTGCGCCACCTGAAGCCAGCAGCAGTTCTCCGAGCAGCGGGCGCACTGGCGACGCCTTTGCCACCGTGGGCTTCACCCCGCAGTCCTCCTGGAGGTCGCCGAAGACTTCGTCTACGCGGAATACAAGTGCACACGTTGATACAATGAGCTCATCGAAGGTGGAGCACGCGACGATCCAGTTCTGCTGGCCACTGCGCTGACGCATGACTCCCATCACTTTGCCCTCGCGCGCGGACGAAGCATAGAACAATCTGGTCGCGGCTGGCCTTCGCCTCGCGCCAAATTTGCGGCGAAAGTGCTGAAAACCACCATATCCTAGAACGATGTCTTTGGCCTGCGCCGCGTCGACGGCGAGCGACCACGCGAATGGGATGTCGCTGGCGGGCTTTCCTACGCCGAAGATCAGTGAAATCATCTTCTTAGCTTCGGAGAGGTCTACCTGGAGGTAGTCGCTGACGAATGCCCTCCAGACGTCGCAATATTGAACGAACCTCTCAAATGACCGCGATGGCACTACATTGTTGGAATGCAAATTCCTTACCTCTCTCAGGAGGAGCGTGGGGAACCAGTTGTTTTTATGTCGACGCTGTAGCTCAAGCCCGTCAACGCCACAGACCGCGACTCTTATGTGAGCCACTGTAGCGCAAGCCCGCGCGCGTGCATTCTGCCAGGGGGGCCATGCTTCCGATAGTGCATCACTTGTAGATCGGCGTAGTCCCCACTGGCAACGCATTCCTTCATGCACCGTTCGATGTACTTGCTCAGCATGTCTGGTCTGCGGTCACGGCCAGCCAATGCGTGGGCTTTCAGCGAAGCAATGTTCACCCGCTCCGTCAGCGTACCCGCGTCCACGTCGTTCTCGTGGTAAGTGAAAGCAAGGTTGTCAATGCTTTTGTCCCAACAACCGACGAAGGCGTCGTCGATGGCATCGGCGCTGACGAACGTGTCCTTGATGGTCTCGGCGCTTGCCCAATATGGGGCCCCACTCGTCCCAAGTGCCGGAATGCTAAGGCCCATGAGTCCCCGAGAGTTTCTCGAAGCGCTCGATGTCAAGATCGAGTCTGGCACAACAGACACCGCCGCTCGGGTGCAAAGCATGGCCCCAAGCTTCCACTGCCTCTTCCAATGATTGATGCTAGGGCTTCTTGCCTTTCGTGCTCGTCTTCGCGCCTACGCCAGGGATCGTCGCCATCCGACTGATTAAAGATGCTCCGATTCGCGCTGCCCCAGCCGTAGCCGCATGCACCGCGCGGACCAATCTCTCCTCAGCACTGGGGCCAGCGGGCGGGCGGCTGCCGTTCGGCTGGTTGCCTGGCACGTAGTCCCAAGGCACGGTATCGCACAACGGAACTTGCAAACCACCGTTTGCCATGCGTTTGACGAATGCGAAGGTGTCTTCCTTGATGCGGTCGTTGGCGTTGATCAGGCTTGTCAGCATGACCCCCCTGGAATGCTTCATCCGCCGCGGCGGCATGAAGTAGCGCACGTAGGCGTATCGAGCTTCTTGGCCCTCCAGGAAGGGCTCTAGCGATGGGCCTTCCAGGAAGCATCTGCCCGACACGTTGACTTTGTTCTCGTCTGGCGTGAACTGGTTTCCAGCTTGAGAACAATGAACCTGCGCGTCCACGATCTCAGCGAGTCAATGTCACTGGGGTCGCCCACAGTAGACGGCAACGCTGGGTTCAACTCCAAGTACTTCGCACAACGCTCCCACGACAAAGACAAAGTCTCCGCCCCAAAAATTCGGCCTGCAAGGCAACTTGGCACCGCTGATGGAATGCTTCACCACGCTCTATTGTAAGGCCTTGCCAGCTGTGCACTCCGACATTATGAGACACCGAGCTTGGGCGAAATGGCAACCCTGCTTTCGGAATTCCGCCTCCACCTGGAAGTTGTTGGACCCCATGTGCTTGCATCTCGCGCCGAACACGCTGGCGCGTAATTTGGACTTCGCGGGCTTCCCATTCCCCCCCCCCCCCCATCGGATAACAAGACTATCATCTTATGTGGAAGAGCACAACCGTCCAGCGCCACAACCTCCATGTTCTCGTCTATTTCACGTGCGTCGGGCCGCCCCGCGTAGGTCGTGCACAGAACTCTCCGCAACCGCTCCAACGTATCGTCGGCGGGCCTCCAGTCTAAGTGAACAGGGAGATGTGTATAGCAATTGTTGTTGATACCCTTCGGAATCTTCAGGATCGGCCCGTTCTGCCACCGAATCCCGGCGGTTTCGAAGTTGACGATGGCGTTCGCATCTGGGAGGTCTTGGACGAACCACTTCCCGAATAAGTCCAAAACCCCTTGGGCGTTGTGCCTATTCGTTAAACGGGTGTGCAGCTTGGAGATCGCGATGCCAGCTTGGGACCACCACTGCGCGCGCGGATTTTCAGGCAGTTCCTTCCTGAAATCGCTCCGGAGCGGCTGATGAGAGCTGTCGAAGTTAATAGCTCGCAAAAATGAAAAGACTTCGTCCCAATCACGCCCGACGTTCGCGTTCATCATCAATGAATAAAACATTATCTGTGCTCGTGCCAAAGATTCTCCCAATAATATGATTTTCGCTTCTGGTAACTCTGAGATCGGCTTCATCGCTCCGTTCTCATACATGTATACAGCGTCAGGGTGCGCGCATATGCGCCCGCTCATTAGAGTGCCAATCAGGCGCGCAGCGATGAGATCGCTAGTCGGGCCCCAACTCTATGTTCATGGTAACGTGCAGCGCGACAACCAAGAAGGCTAGGTAGGATACGGCGTTTGGGACGCGATCCCAGTCTGCCACTTCTGTGAGCCAGCGGTCCAGTAATGTTGCTGTAAGATCGTAAATGAGGGAGGCTGCAAATCCTCTTCTGGCTGAAACGTTAGTTCTGCACCAGCATCAACAAACTGTTTGTAAATCTCTGGTCCCCACATGTCTATGGGCACTTCCTGCTTCCGACGTCTCTTCGAACTCGGGGCGTCCGATGCCAGAGCTTGCGCGGCCACCGCGCGAGCCGCGCGCGGGGGTATCAACATGTGTCCCCCTGGCAGAGCGCGCGCCCTTGCCCTCGCCTCGTCCTCTAGCTTGCAAACGTCGGCAGCGTCGACGAACTGCCAGTGCAAGCCCAGGGGCATCCCCGACTGGGCAGCGTGCGAGTGCGGAATTTGGTACGTGCCCGAGACGATATTCCAAGATTCCACAACGCCACCAGCACCCAGTCGGATCTCCCCCGCAAGTGCTACAGCCTCCTCGCACGCCAGCCCAGCATGGCCAGCAGCTCGGCCCATTGGACAGGGAGACGTAAGAATGGTTATGAAAAGTTGTTCGCCCAAACCTTTCACGACGGCATATGAACCAGGTTCCAAGCTGACCGCTCCGACCACGTGCCCTCCGACGTCTCTCCAATGAAAAGTGTGGCCTTCTGGTATCGGAGGCGGGCTGTAGGCCGCGGCACTGGTAACGCGGACGACGTCTTCGTCGGCGCCGATGCGGAGTTGGACGACGGGCACGCCAGCGCACACCCATTGGGGCGCGCTCCCAGCTGGAGCTGCGGCATCAACGGCCACTGGGGGCAACCCACTCTCTCGTTGCAACAAAGGCGGGAACAGTGTCACGGCGGGCGTGGTTCCATTCTCCACAACCACGACAACTTCGCCGTCGCCTCCAGCGCTTGCGTCGGCTAGTGCCAGCGCCGCGGAGCCCGCCTTCATTCGCCCCTGCCTGTCGCCCGCCATCATCCACGGCGGGCACGGCCGGCCATTCAAACATTGTATGTTATTGATTGTATTGAATGCGAGCACTGACACTTCAGGGACGTCAATGTAGCGTTTGACTTTGTCTGGCCCCATACAAGGCCTGCTGTCGCCGTCCATTCAAACGCATGCCTTGCCCTCGCACTGCACCCGCAAAATGAAGAAATGGCTGCGCGCATGAAGAATGCATCGCCCATCATTCAGAATTGGGTGTCTTGGCATTGGCGCCGCCGCGTGCCCCCGCGGACGAAGTGTCGCGTTCTCGTCGCGAAGCATCCAGTAAGGACCATCTCGAGTGGCATTGGCAGGCAGACCATAATTGCGAAAACAATCTACCAGGCAAATGCCCGCGAACTGGCCACCGCTGCGAGGCGTGACGACAGAGCACAGAGGAATGTTCACGCCGCCCGAACAGTTGCCATCTTTGGCGGTGATGCCGCGACAGGGCAGCGCGCCCCCCAGCAACTTCCCACGTAAGCGGCATCAGATGGAGGAAACCGTCGGACTGCGAGTAGACGCCGACGAAAGACGCCACGTCTGCGAAGCTGTCGGTGAAGTAGTCGGCCACGTAGACGTCAGGCTGCAGCGCCGCCATCAGATGAACGTCAGTGTCGTAGTGCGTGTCATGCGCTGCGATGGCGTGGACGTGCTCCTGACATCCTTGGACCTCTTCGAAGCACTCCTCTGTCGCGACCCACTTCGCCTCCACGTGCACCAAACCATGTTCATCAAAGTCACCTGCCATGTTGTTATCACTGACGAAATCGTCTGGCGCGCGCGGCTGGTCAACGTTGAAGCTGCGCGCGCGGCCTTCGGCTTCGACTGCCTGGTAGAGTCCCACCGCCATGTCGCCGAGCAGAAACCCAATCAGGAAAATAGCGTCTGCATACTTCCTCTTCGCGTAAGTGATATCCTTGCCCTTCCAAAGTAACCCGCGCGCGACAAGCGCGCAAGAGAGCTGCGAAAGCACCGCGATCGCAGACCGCATTGACAGATGCCACATGCGCAACGAGAGTGTGTAGGATGTCTTTGCAAACAGAATACACTGCACACGCTCCTGGCGCCCGCCTACAGAATTGATTCACCCCTGGATTGATTCTTTCGCCGAATACACGAAGGAAAACGTAGACATCCACGAACATTATACGAATTCCTTCGTCGATTCGACGAAATAATCAATTCTGGGGTAAATGAATTCTGCAGTCGATCCCCCACCCGAGCCTTACGTTCTCACTCCGGAAGGATGCATCCGCCAGTCCACCCCGACCGCCCTCCCGTTCCACATGTAAGCGTGCCGACGTCGGCTGCCACGACGGGTCGGCTGGTTGCCCAGAGCTCGAGCCCTCGCCATCCTTCGGATTGCCGCATGCATAGCCATGCGGTGAACGCGCGCGGGCAGGACCAGCGTCGGCGCCCATCTCATCGCAGCCGCCATCAACTCGAGGACACACCTGATCATGCAACGTGGCGTTGGTCATAGATGCCACGGCACCCGCTATGTTCACGCGCTGGAACGAACATGCCGCATCGTGGCGTTGGAGAAACGGTTGAGACAATTTCGCTTGTGTCGGCGTATGCACGATGGCGCTATCAGTGATCATGTGCTGAAGGAAATAGCCCACGCCGTCTTTGCCTTGGTAGAGTGGAATGGGCACTTCCACCTGCGCATGCGTTTGTGCGAGATCACCAGTCATGTTCGCGCGCTGCAAAGAATAATCAAAGCCCTCGTTGTAGATGTCAAAGGGGAAGTACACATTCACCTGCACCGAATGGCTGCACGGGCGTTCGACGTCAGAAGTGGTAAGTGCGCGAAGCAACGGACAGCTGGCAACCACTGCGCCGAACAGGATCATTCAAAACCAAATGCGAAAGGGGGCCGCCATGCTGACTATGTGGGCCCAGTTGGCCTGGTGCGACGCGTGCTTCAACATTGGTAAATAGATCGCCACCACGAGCCCAATGATGGAGCACATCTGCACTTCGAGAGACAGCGTCGCAAGACGAGCTCTGTGAGCAACGCGTGAACGCCTCAAAACCTGGACAAGTGAGGGCTAATCACACGGTGAGTCGTGCGCCAGAAAAGGCGACGGACGTCAGGCATTTATTGTTGGGCGCGCTTTCGTGCGACTATCCAGGCGTGGCGCCCTGCACTTCAACCCTGCGGCGCAGGTGCGCATGCGCAATGCGCGCGTGCGTGGCCGCGCGCGCGCGCGATTGCGTCTGTTGCTTCTGCGCTCTAGCGCGCAATAGCACATGCCTAGCGGCACGCGCAAGAGCAGCGCGCGCCCTTCGAGACACAATGCCGCAGGCTGAGCTGGATGCACAATTTCTCGATATAGCTTAATCTGTATAATTGCCACACGTGCTGCCCCGAACCACAGAGAAGGCGACAGACCTCACCCGCGCGCGTTTGCACGTGCGCCCATGCGTACAACATGGCGTTGTTGCCTGGTGCCTTTGGATGCCCTGGGTTCCTGGGTTTGGGTTCCTGGCGTTCTCAGGTTCTGGGTTCTGAGGTTCCTGAGTTCCTTGGTTACGATTGGAGGGTAGGGACTGCCGGCGTCCTTGGCCTTCGGAGACCTCGGGTTATCTTCGTTTCCCCGTGCTTGGAGTTGCTTTGGCTTGCTGCCGCGATGGCCCGCTGGTGGTAGTGGCCGTAATCGCAGTCGCAATCGTAGTCGTAGCATTCGTTGTTGTTGTAGTCGTAATCGCTGTCGTAGCAGTTATCGTGGCACCAGTAAGAATCGTCGTGGTCATAATCGTTGCTGCGGTAATCTCACTAGTGATGCTAGTCGTAGTCGTAGCCGTAGTAGTAGTAGTAGCAATAGTAATAATAGTAGCAGAAGTAGTAGCAATAGCAGCAAGAACAGCAGCAGCAGGCGCAGCAGGAGGCAGAAGGCGGCATAAGAGCGCGGCTACCCAAAAGGGCATCGCAAAGTGCGATGCCCCTTTCTGCGCCACGAATCGCAGCGCCGTCCGTGTAGTCGCATGAGTAGTCGTAGTAAAAGTAGCACTGCTACTAGTGTGAGCACTAGTACTAATCGTCGCGGTGGCCGCAACGTGAATGTAGTAATATCAAGAGTAGCCGTTGTCGGAATGAAAATAAATCATAGTCGCGGTAGTGGTAGTAGTAGTAGTAATAGTAGTAGTAGTAGTAATGATATCGTAGTAGTAGTAGTGGTGGTAGTAGTAGCAGTAGCAGTAATAGAAATAGTAGCAGTAGTAGTCGCAGTCGCAGCAGCAGCAGGCGCAGCGGGGGGCAGAAGGAGGCAAGCGGGAAGAGAAGATGAGGGACGCGGCCCCCCAGGGGGCACAGCAAAATGCGATGTCCCTTTTTCTACCGCGCTGCGTGGCGCCGCTCGTTGGCTCTCCGCTGTGCGCAAGCTCAGGCCTCCCACAGCGCTGGCACAGCCTCTTGCTCGCGGTCACCTCCTGGCGACAAGCGCGCTTTCCACTGCCGCCGCAACGGGCCGCGGGCGGACGACCTGCGGCAGCGCCCTGCTGCGCGAGATGCCAATCGCACACGCCTGTCGTTACTGCGCGCCCGCCGCCCGTGGTCTTCGTAGCACGTGTGAAAAGTATGCCAAGGGGGCCTTGTCGCGCACCAGGTTCTCGCACAGGTCCACCTTCGCCTTCGCGAGCGCTCTCTGCGCCGCGGCCCTCTTCTTCTCCGCCCCCTCGCACCTTTTTTACCTAACAGCTTGTTCTGATAGGTTTCTAATGGTCTCAAAAGAGAGCAGCAGATGACTCCACAGGGGGGTCTGGGCGGGTGCCGGACAGGGTGCCGCAGAAGTCGTTTTAAGCCAACAGTCACACACTTCGTGCTCTTCGACCTCCCAGAACTCCATTCCCGGGCCACATTCTGAATGCCCGGAGCCAACTGTAGGCCACTTCGTGCTCTTCGACTTCCCAGAACTCCATTCCCGGGCCACATTTTGAATGCCCGGAGCCAACTGTAGGCCACTTCGTGCTCTTCGAATTCCCAGAACTCCATTCCCGGGCCACATTTTGAATGCCCGGAGCCAACTGTAGGCCACTTCGTGCTCTTCGAGTTCCCAGAACTCCATTCCCGGGCCACATTTTGGATGCCCGGAGCCAACTGTAGGCCACTTCGTGCTCTTCGATTCCCAGAACTCCATTCCCGGGCCACATTTTGGATGCCCGGAGCCAACTGTAGGCCACTTGTGCTCTTCAAGTTCCCAGAATTCCATTCCCAGGCCACACTTTGAATGCCCAGAGCCAACTGTAGGCCACTTCGTGTTCTTCTAGTTCCCAGAACTCCGTTCCTGGGCCACATTTTGAATATTGAGGCAGGCTGATGCTGCGGCCGAGGCAGGCTGAGGCTGGCTGAGGCTGAGGCCGACGCCGAAGGCAGACTGAGGCTGAGGCTGAAGCAGACTGAGGCTGAGGCTGAGGCAGGCTGAGGCTGAGGCTGAAGGCAGGCTGATGCTGAGGCAGGCTGAGGCTGAGGCTGAGGCTGATGCAGGCTGAGGCTGAGGCAGGCTGAGGCTGAGGCCGAGGCTGAGGCAGAGGCTGAGGCTGAAGCAGGCTGAGGCTGAGGCTGAGGCAGGCTGAGGCTGAGGCAGGCTGAGGCTGAGGCTGAGGCAGGCTGAGGTTGAGGCTGTGACTGCGAGTGCCGTTGCCGCTGCGACTGTCATCGCGAATGCGACTACGACTGCGAGAACAGCAGAATTCTACAACTGGACTTTCATCTGAATCTTAAAGGGAATGCTTTCAAATATGCTTCTACACATCGCTGTTAGGTTGCTTTGCCGGGATAATTTCTCATCGGGAAGAGACAGGCGCGGGTCGCGATCTCTGTCGTTATTGCTTTTTCAAAACGTTTAACTGTGGCCGGAGTTACCGCCGCGATCCTGAAGGAAGCCGAGCTTCCAGCTCCTGGCCCCCTTCCAGGCGGTCTTCGCCTCGGCCTGCCAGGTCTTCGCCTCGCCCCGTGCGCTCCGGGCCTTCCGCGCGCGCGCGTCGGGGCGTCTCCTGTGGACGAGCCGCGAAAGACCGGCGCCATCCAATGCCACGCAGAAGCGTCACGATTCGGAAACATAGTATATCACTCACGTGGTATATTGTGTTTCAAAATCGCGTCGCTTCTGCTTGGCATTAATTGGACGCTGGGTTGTGGCATGGTGTTTTTGTGTCGCATCATTGTATTCAAAGCGTCTTTTTTCCCAACCATCCTGTGGTGTTGGGTCCTCGTTTTGAAGAGACGGTGCCCCGCGTCTCCCTCACTCCTCCTCCTCCTCCCGCTGCCTCCTCCCTCGTTGCCTCTGCTCACGGCGCACCCCTCACACGTTTCGTAGCCCCATAGGGAGCTCCACCTAAGGGCCCAGTGGCGCAGTTCGCATGCGTCTCCCCCACCCAGGACAATGTTTCGTGGCCCCATAGGGAGCTCCACCGAGGGTCCCAGTGGCGCAGTTCGCATGCGTCTCCCCCACCCAGGACAGCTTTTCGTGGCCCCATAGGAAGCTCCACCGAAGTCCCAGTGGCGCAGTTCGCATGCGTCTCCCCCACCCAGGACAGCGTTTCGTGGCCCCATAGGGAGCTCCACCGAAGGCCCCAGTGGCGCAGTTCGCACGCGTCTCCCCCATCCAGGAGGACAGCGTTTCGTGGCCTCATAGGAAGCTCCACCGAAGTCCCCGCAGTTCGCATGGCGCAGTTCGCATGCGTCTCCCCCGCCCAGGACAGCGTTTCGTGGCCCCATAGGGAACCCCACCGAGGGTCCCAGTGGCGCAGTTATCATGCGTCCCCCCCACCCAGGACAGCTTTTCGTGGCCCCATAGGAGCTCCACCGAAGTCCCAGTGGCGCAGTTCGCATGCGTCTCCCCCACCCAGGACAGCGTTTCGTGGCCCCACAGGGAGCCCCACTGAAGGCCACATTGGTGGTGCAATTCGCACGCGTCTCCCCCAACCAGGACAGCATTTCGTGGCCCCATAGGGAGCTCCACCGAGGGTCCCAATGCCGCAGTTCGCATGCGTCTCCCCCACCCAGGACAACGCTTCGTGGCCCCATAGGGAGCTCCACCGAGGGTCCCAGTGGCGCAGTTCGCATGCGTCCCCCCCACCCAGGACAACGTTCCGTGGCCCCATAGGGAGCCCCACCGAGGGCCCCAGTGGCGCAGTTCGCATGCGTCTCCCCCACCCAGGAACAGCGTATTCGTGCCCCAAAGGGAGCCCCACTGAAGGCCAACATTGTGCAAATCCGCCCGCGTCCTCCCCCAAAACCAGACAGCATTCGTGCCCCATAGGAGCTCCACCGAGTCCCAGTGGCGAGCCGTTTCGCAAATGCGTCTCCCCCCCACCCAGGCCTACGTTTCGTGGCCCCAATAGGACTCCACCAAAGGCCCCAGTGGCGCAGTTCGCATGCGTCTCCCCCACCCAGGACAACGTTCCGTGGCCCCATAGGGAGCTCCACCGAGGGACCCAGTGGCGCAGTTCGCATGCGTCTCCCCCACCCAGGAAGGCCCCAGTGGCGCAGTTCGCATGCGTCTCCCCCACCCAGGCCAACCTTTCGTAGCCCCATAAGGAGCTCCACGGAAGTCCCAGTGGCGCAGTTCGCATGCGTCTCCCCAATCCAGGACAGCGCTTCGTGGCCCCATATGGAGCTCCACCGAAGGCCACAACTACACTCGCATGCGTCTCCCCCATCCAGGACAGCGTTTCGTTGCCCCACAGGGAGCTCAACCGAAAGCCCCAGTGCCGCAGTTCGCATGCGTCTCCACCCACCCAGGACAGCGCTTCGTGGCCCCATGGGGAGCTCCACCGAGGGCAACAGTTGCTGCAGTCACATGCGTCTCCCCTACCCAGGACAGCCTTTCGCGGCCCACAGGGATCTCCACCGATTGCGATACTCACAACGACGGTACTCACAACTGCATATGGTTGGGTCCTTCGCCAGGCTAATTCTCCCGGCGCTGCCCCGTCGCTTCGCGGACCGCCGCGCGGACCTTCTCGAGGGCCGCGCGGCGGAAGGTCGCCACCAGGTGCTTGGTCCGAGGTTGTTGGAAGTAAGATTGAAGCTTCTTTTTGGCTTGGCACTCCCGGTTCTTCTCCAGCTTCCGAAAGTGCGCCTCGGTGTCTTTCGCTGGGTTGCCCATGCTTCCAGGCAGTGGGGTTCTAACGGGGGCCTGAACCTAAACGCCTTTTTGTGCCCGTGGACCAAGTTGCATGCGATTGCTTCCCGTTTCGTTGCTTGTCCACTCCACCCCTCCGTATCCCCCCCCCCATCCCCCCCCTCCCTCGCCCTCGCCCCCCCCGTCCTTTTCCTCCTCGTCCTCATCCTGCCCCTGCTCAGTTTCCTCGTGAGAGGCTTGCGTGCAAGCGGCCGCAGCAGGCGAGAAATATTATGAGGACGCCGCCAAATAAAGAACAGTGAAGATGAATAGTGGCACGAAGAAAAAAGGAACTGATAATCAGAAGAATTACACGAATAATAAGAAGAATAACGCGAACAGAAGAATATGTATCACCATGTTGGGGGGGGGGGGGGGGGAGTTTCTTACGTTCCTGGGTTCCTGGGTTCCTGAGTTCCTGGGTTGTTGGGTCATGGGTGTCCTAGGTTGCTGTGTTATTGGGTTCCTGAAGTCTTTGATTCTTAGGTTCGTAGGTTCTTAGGTTCCTGGGTTCTTAGGTTCCTGGGTTTCTTAATTTCCTGGGTTTCTTAAGTTCCTGGGTTCATGGGTTCCTAAATTCCTGGGTTCTTACGTTCTTGAGTTCCTGGGTTTCGTAGGGTCCTGGGTTCTTAGGTTCCTGAGTTCCTGGATTATGAGTGTTCTGGGTTCCTGGGTTTTGGGCCCCTGGGGTCTTAGGTTCCTGGGTTTCTTATGTTCCTGGGTTCCTGGGATCCTAGATTACTGAGTCCCTGAGTTCCCCAACCCCCTTCCCCTGGATCTGGAGAGGAACAGTGCGATGGGTTGCAGCGTCCAGGATGGCACAACATGGTTCCGAGAAAGCGCCCAAATGCTTCAATGTTGCCTCCGATGTGGCTCAGGATAGACCAAAGGGGTTCATGGCAACTCCCCGTGAGCCTCCAAGACGCTTTAAGGCTGTCGTCGTCGTGTCCTTTCTCTTTTTTGGCCCCTGTGTCTTCGGACGCTCCACTGGGCGCGCATTTCCGGCGCCGTAGATGCCCCGACGAACTACGGAGTGGCCGAGAAGGGACCACGAAGGGACCAGGAAGGGACCACGGAGGGACCACCGAGGAAGCATGGAGGGACCACGAGGAAACCACGGAGGGAGACCAGAAGGGACCAAGAAGGGACCACGAAAGGACCACAGAGGACCAAGAAGGGACCACGAAGCAAAATAGAATCCGATTGTAATCCTCCACAAAGGAAGCCCTATTATAATTCTTCAATAAAAGGAATCCAATTGCAATCCTCCGTGAAGAGAATCCTCTTGTAATCCTCCGCAAATGGATTCTCTTTGTAATCCTCCACAAAGGGAATCCTATTGCAATCCCCCAGAAAAGGAATCCTAGTGCAATCCCCCACAAAAGAAATCCGGTTGTAATTATCCACGAAACGAATCCTATTGTAATCCTCCAAAGAAAGAGTCCTTTTGCAATCCTCCACGAAAGGAATCCTATTTTACTCCTCCACAAAAAGGAATCCTATTGTAAGCCTCCGCAAAAGGAATCCTAGCGTAATTATCCACAAGAGGAATCTTATTGTAATCCTCAACGCAAGGAATCCTATTGTAATCCTCCACAAAAAAAGAATCCTATTGTAATCCTCCACGCGAGAAATCCTTTTGTAATCCTGAAATCCAAATTCCAAGCACATCAGAACATTTGTTTCCCAACCATCCTGTGGTGTTGGGTCCTCGTTTTGAAGAGACGGTGCCCCGCGTCTCCCTCACTCCCCCTCCTCCTCCCGCTGCCTCCTCCCTCCGCCCTCCTCTCCCTCGTTGCCTCTGCTCGCGGCGCACCCCTCGCACGTTTCGTAGCCCCATAGGGAGCTCCACCTAAGGGTCCAGTGGCGCAGTTATCATGCGTCTCCCCCACCCAGGACAGTGTGTCGTGGCCCCATAGGGAGCTCCACCGTGGGTCCCAGTGGCGCAGTTATCATGCGTCTCCCCCACCCAGGACAGCTTTTCGTGGCCCCATAGGGAGCTCCACCGAAGTCCCAGTGGCGCAGTTCGCATGCGTCTCCCCCACCCAGGACAACGTTTCGTGGCCCCATAGGGAGCTCCACCGAAGGTCCCAGTGGCGCAGTTCGCATGCGTCTCCCCCATCCAGGAGGACAAACGTTTCGTGGCCTCATAGGAAGCTCCACCGAAGTCCCAGTGGCGCAGTTCGCATGCGTCTCCCCCGCCCAGGACAGCGCTTCGTGGCCCCATAGGGAGCTCCACCGAGGGTCCCAGTGGCGCAGTTCAGGACAGCGTTTCGTGGCCCCATAGGGAGCCCCCCCCATGCCCAGGACAGCGTTTCGTGGCCCCATAGGTAAGCTCCACCGAAGGTCACATGCGCAGTTCGCATGCGTCCCCCCCCCCAGGCAGCGTTTCGTGTCCCCAAATAGGGAGCCCCACCGAGGGCCCCAGTGGCGCGTTCGCATGCTTCTCCCCCACTCCAGGCCAGCGTTTCGTGCCCCCCATAGCGAGCTCCACCGAGGTCCCAGTGCGCAGTTCGCATGCGTCCCCCCCGCCCAGGGCAGCGTTTCGGGCCCCATAGGGAGCCGCTCCCGAGGGGGGTGGGGGGCAGTTGGGGGGGGGGGGGGGGGGGGGGGGGGTCGGGAGGGGGGGGGGAGGGGGTCCCAGTGGCCGCCATTCGCAATGCGTCTCCCCGCCCCAGGAACAACGTTTTCGTGGCCCCATAGGGAGCTCCACCAAGGCCCCAGGGGGCGCAGTTCGCATGCGTCTCCCCACCCAGGACAACGTTCCGTGGCCCCATAGGGAGCTCCACCGAGGGTCCCAGTGGCGCAGTTCGCATGCGTCTCCCCCACCCAGGAAGGCCCCAGTGGCGCAGTTCGCATGCGTCTCCCCCACCCAGGCCAACCTTTCGTAGCCCCATAAGGAGCTCCACCGAAGTCCCAGTGGCGCAGTTCGCATGCGCCTCCCCAATCCAGGACAGCGCTTCGTGGCCCCATATGGAGCTCCACCGAAGGCCACAACTGCACTCGCATGCGTCTCCCCCATCCAGGACAGCGTTTCGTTGCCCCACAGGGAGCTCAACCGAAAGCCCCAGTGCCGCAGTTCGCATGCGTCTCCACCCACCCAGGACAGCGTTTCGTGGCCCCATAGGGAGCTCCACCGAAGGCACCAAGTTGCTGCAGTCACATGCGTCTCCCCTACCCAGGACAGCCTTTCGCGGCCCACAGGGATCTCCACCGATTGGGATACTCACAACGACGGTACTCACAACTGCATATGGTTTGGTCCTTCGCCAAGCTAATTTTGTTTTTTTGATTGTCCATCGCCCTGGCTTTTGCGACGCAGGCTATAGGGAGCCCTGATCCCAGGATTTCCAAACATTGGTTGTGTTGTTTCCCGCATTTGTTTTTGCTGTCCAGGCACAAGGGAATTCGGGGCCGATGGAACTTGTTTTGACATGCGTCTGCATGGCAATTGATTGGCGGGCCTTCATCGGGCCCGCGCTTCCCTGTGCCTGGACAGCAAAAGCAAAGGCGGGAAACACAATTAGCCTGGCGAAGGACCCAACCATATGCAGTTGTGAGTACCGTCGTTGTGAGTATCGCAATCGGTGGGGATCCCCGTGGGCCGCGAAAGGCTGCCCTGGGTAGGGGAGACGCATGTGACTGCAGCAACTGTTGCCTTCGGTGGAGCTCCCTATGGGGCCACGAAGCGCTGTCCTGGGCGGGTGGAGACGCATGCGAACTGCGGCACTGGGGCTTTCGGTTGAGCTCCCTGTGGGGCAACGAAACGCTGTCCTGGATGGGGGAGACGCGTGCGAGTGCAGTTGTGGCCTTCGGTGGAGCTCCATATGGGGCCACGAAGCGCTGTCCTGGATTGGGGAGACGCATGCGAACTGCGCCACTGGGACTTCGGTGGAGCTCCTTATGGGGCCACGAAACGCTGTCCTGGGCTGGGGAGACGCATGCGAACTGCGCCACTGGGGCCTTCCTGGGTGGGGGAGACGCATGCGAACTGCGCCACTGGGACCCCCGGTGGAGCTCCCTATGGGGCCACGGAACGCTGTCCTGGGTGGGGGAGACGCATGCGAACTGCGCCACTGGGGCCTTTGGTGGAGCTCCCTATGGGGCCACGAAACGTTGTCCTGGGTGGGGGAGACGCATGCGAACTGCGCCACTGGGACCCTCGGTGGAGCTCCCTATGGGGCCACGAAACGCTGTCCTGGGTGGGGGGGGCGCATGCGAACTGCGCCACTGGGACCTCGGTGGAGCTCCCTATGGGGCCACGAAACGCTGTCCTGGGTGGGGGAGACGCATGCGAACTGCGCCACTAGGGCCCTCGGGGCCACGAAACGCTGTCCTGGGTGGGGGGGGCGCATGATAACTGCGCCACTGGGACCCTCGGTGGAGCTCCCTATGGGGCCACGAACGCTGTCCTGGTGGGGGAGACGCAATGAGAACTGCTGCAGTGTGACCCTCGGGAGCTCCCTATGGGGCACGAAACGCTGTCCGCGCTGGGGGACGCCGCATTGCGAACTGCACCACTGATGATGGCCTTCGGTGGGGCTCCCTATGGGCCACGAGCGCTGTCCTGGGTGGGGAGGACGCATGCGAACTGCGCCACTGGGACCTCGTGGAGCTCCTATGGGGCCACGAAAGCTGTCCTGGTGGGGGGGGCGGCATGATAACTGCGCCACTGGGACCCTCGGTGGGGTTCCCTATGGGGCCACGAAACGCTGTCCTGGGCGGGGGAGACGCATGCGAACTGCGCCACTGGGACTCCGGTGGAGCTTCCTATGAGGCCACGAAGCGTTGTCCTCCTGGATGGGGGAGACGCATGCGAACTGCGCCACTGGGGCCTTCGGTGGAGCTCCCTATGGGGCCACGAAACGCTGTCCTGGATTGGGGAGACGCATGCGAACTGCGCCACTGGGACTTCGGTGGAGCTTCCGATGGGGCCACGAAAAGCTGTCCTGGGTGGGGGAGACGCATGCGA